TGCGCCCTGACAACCGGGGATTTACGGTATTTACTTGATAGAGTCACTTTGACGGGCGGCTGAAGACTCGCTAGCAAGCCTCCTAGTTCTAAGCGAGTGGGGCTCCCTCACAGCAGCCTCCCGAATGGAGTCACTTGCTCCAGCGTGGAAGGCTTCCCTCCTGTAGTGTGTGTACACACACACACACACACACACACACACACACACACACGCAGGACCATTACTTGACTCTGGGCCAGGCCAGCCCCTGAGACAGGCCTTTCCATCTAAGAGTCACCTCCTGCTTTTTTTTTTTTTTTTTTTAGCGGAATCAGTTTCTGCTGTTCCCTGATACTAGTTTATTTTTTAAAATACGTTTTTATTGATGTCAGAGAGGAAGGGAGAGGGAGAGAGAGATAGAGGCATCAATGATGAGAGACATGGATCGGCTGCCTCCTGCAGGCCCCCTCCTGGGGATCCAGGCTGCAACCCAGGCCTGTGTCCTGACCAGGAATTGAACCATGACCTCCTGGTTCATACCTAATACTATTCTAATGCCCGTAGTCTAAAGCACAATTATTAGAGTTTGTTACAGTCTAGCAAGCCCTCCATGGGACTGGGATCTCCTGGGAACAGACAGCCATCTTTTTTTTAAACCTAGAGAATGAAGCATATCGGTTCGTTTCACTGTTGGAATGAATGGCTCTCTCTTTCAGTTGCTGCCTAAGCCATTCTTCTCCGGCTAGACATTCACATCCCGGAACATGGCCTGCGTCTACCGTTGTCCATCACACATCACTTGACATTTTCTCTTTCGACGCAGCCCCAATGAGACCAACACAAGGAGCGCTCTTGCCACAGTTTGCTTTCTCCTCTCTTTTATTTCACCGGTCTTTGCTCCAAGTCAACATTTGCATTTCGGCACGACTGTGGCCATACTGACTAGAGGGGTGATTTACACTGGAAACTCTGTTGCGTGTCCCCCCAAACTCAATGCCTCTATATTATTCCCTCGGTAGGCGTTCCTTTTATTCTAGGAGGAACTGTCTCTAACTTCTGAAATTGACACTTTACCTGTATAGGGGGCCTATATTATTAGTAGACGGGCAGCTGAATAGATGTAATAACAATAGCTAACATATTAGTAAGATAGATAGATATGCATAGACATTTAATCTTCACAACAACCCCCAAGGACATATTATAATTATTATTATCAGCACCAATCTTCTGCAGATGGGAAGACTGTAGTCCAGAGAGGCTATGTACCTAGTTCAAGGCCATAGTCAGTGGCAGAGCTGAAGTCTGCAGAGAGCATTCGTTGTCTATGTGCTTACCCACTAATAACTTCCAAGACGCACCCAAACAAGTCTTATAAACGTGGCTTTAATGGTGGGGCACGTGTGGGGGATACTGGGTACTCTATTACAGATTCACAATCCCCATCATTATGTTAAAGGCTCTGAGCAATTTACACATTCAACTCTTTTAACCCAGCATGTTCCAAACTGCCTTGAACATGAAAATGCCACCCCCCCATTAATATACATTGGAAAATTCTGGAATAAAAGAATTGTTTCAACCCACTTCTGAATAATTCTGAAAGTTACATATAAATCAGCATCGGCAGGTGCCTTTCCTTAAAAGAAACACACACACAAAAAGTATATTTTAAATATATTTTTTATTAATTTCAAAGAGGAAGGGAGAGGGAGAAAGAGATAGAAACATCAATGATGAGAGGGAATCATTGATTGGCTGCCTCCTGCACGCCCCACACTGGGGATCGAGCCGGAAACCCAGGCATGTGCCCTTGACCAGAATTGAGCCTGGGACCCTTCAGTCCACAGGCCGACACTCTATCCACTGAGCCAAACTGGCTAGGGCTGGTGCCTTTCCTTGAGGCCCAATGGAAGCAGCTTGAAAGGAGTTAGACAACCTGCCAGCACCCCAACAGCCAAAGCAAAAATATACTCAGGCAAGGCAAAGATTTCCCTGAACTCGGCAACCTTTGCGCTCAGTTTGAGAAGGGCAGTAATGCAGCTGTACCCGAGGGGGTAAAAGTGACTATTCTTACAGCCTGGGCGATGCTGAGGGCACTGGTTCAGCCTCCCTCTCCCACTCCCCCCCATCCCCCTGCCCCACCTGAGCCAGGGAGACCACCTTCTTGGTAGAGACAAAAACACACCCGAGACTGCGTGGATTCATATTAGAGTGTGGAGAGAGCAGCAAAAGCCCATCTGTGTCACTTCTAGGGAAACAACCTAGGCCATAAATGCGCTGGCAACCGTCCCCGCTTCCCAATATAAACACACACACGCTTGTCCATGATAGTTTGTTGAATACCCACTGCTTCCTTTACAACCCCTTAGGCCCTCAGCCTATTCCTGAGGCTACTTTGAATTTCCCCACAACCTAGGAAAGCAGGACAGGGGGAGGGTCGGTGAAATCTCCTGGTGTCGGTAGGTGAGCCCCTTTTTCCTCTCGGGTGAGCAATCCTATGAAGATGTAACAGGTAAGACTGTACGAGCTGCCTCCCTGGTAACTCTACGTGGATCCTTTCTTGTATTCAATAACTCCTTTGGAGTCTTTTTAAAAAAATATATTTTATTGATTTTTTTTTACAGAGAGGAAGGGAGAGGGATAGAGAGTTAGAAACATCGATCAGCTGCCTCTTGAACACCTCCAACTGGGGACGTGCCCACAACCAAGGTACATGCCCTTGACCGGAATCGAACCTGGGACCTTTCAGTCCGCAGGCCGACACTCTATCCACTGAGCCAAACCGGTCAGGGCTCCTTTGGAGTCTTTCCATCTCCACATTCGACAAGCAAACAGTCGCTGAATTTCATGAGATCTTAGTATGTGCTGGGCTTCCTACAGTCTTTATGGAGAAACGGTCTTTAACTCATCGAGACCTTGACCACCTCGAGGAGGCAGGGGCACGTAGTGCTTACAAGGGCCAGACCCAGGGTCAAGGTGTCTTGGGTTCAAATCTCTGTTCCTTTCTGGCTTTGTGACCGTGACCCTGGCCAAGTTACCCTGACCCTTCATGTTAGTTTCTTTATCTGTGAAATGGGGGTAACCCTTAGTACCCACGACATGAGGTTATCGTGAGGATTAAACTATACAGGGAACAGAAAGCACTTCTAACAGAGCCTGGCACCTAGTATGTACTCATTAAACGCTCCTCACCAGTTTCTCATGCTCTCACTTCTTCCTCTTTGTCAGAGATGTCCACTAAAACGTGTGGCCCCCACTCCTCCTTCGATATAAATAGAATGAAAAAGCCAGGGGAGACGCCAACAAGAATTTGCTTCCTGGTTATACCTCCTAGC